TTTCCCCTTTGCTGTTCTTCCCTTTTTCCAGTAACTCCTCCTTGCCCCTCACCTCTTTGGCCTGCTGCTGAGTCCCGTTGATTCTCACCAACCACGTGTGCACTGACCGACGCTTCCTCCCCTGCTTCTCCCAGAACCCGATCCTCTCCCAGCTGGATCCCTGCACCTCTTCCTTTGGACTGGATGGGAGTTGCCTCTCAAAAGTCTCCAGAGAGTGATTGGGACACGTGCCTTTGTTCCCTAGTTAACCCCATCATGGGTCTGGCTTGCCATTTGCCCACCCCAGCAGGGTATCCGGCCTGTCCTGATCCAACCCCAAATCTCTTTTTGGAGGGTGTCCTGCTAACCCATTCTCCAGCCCTGAAATGCCTCCAGGCCTACTTGGCTAATCACTAAGTCTACTATTTTGGAATTGCAACTTGGGAACCCCCTCCCAGGATGCTGCTTTCTACCTCATGGAATACTCTTTTCTCAGGAACTACAATAATTTTTTCTTTAACAAATGTTTAAGAAAACACAAAATGGAAATCAGTCTCACTGTGCCAACTTTGGCAAGGAGAGGGCTTAAACTTGGGTCTCCACCATTGGCAGGGAGCTAACTCTGATCTTTGTAATGCTCCCTAGAGACTGGAATTAGAAAAGGAACTGGGATGATGGATGATAGTAAGAATTGGGGTCTCTAAGAAGGCACAGTCTTTTTGAAACTCACCTTTTGGCTCTTCACCCTGTAGGGGAGCCAAGAGGCCAATGTTGACTTTTAATTCCTTGGTGGATATGTATATGTTCTTATGTGTGGCTGTTTACTGAAGGAGGGACTGTGATGACGTAGTCCTCCGAGGTCATCATTTGCCCAGGCTGAGCCCATCCTTGGCAGTGTTTGGAAGTATGTATCTTGGAAACCAACTGTTGTCTGGTGGAGAAGGTCATGCAGCTCTCTGTCTAGTGGCCAGCAAGAACTCAAATATATGAAAACTGGCTTATTGAGGAAGAGTATGAGACCTGATCCTTGGTAATATCACAAGATAAGGGTGGGGTTCAGGGCTTCTTATCACATGTTTTTCCTCTGTCATTCCAGATGCCCAGGGGTAGTATCAATGATTTTCAGATTACTATTCCAGAAGGAACTGGAGAGGATGTAGGGATGTGTGTGGTAAGAATCTGGGTCTTTTGAAGGTATATTCCTTTAAGACTCCCCTCTGGGGAGGGAAGTGGCCACTGTAGACTTTTAGTTCCTTAAATATATGAATGTGACTGTGTGTGTGTGTTTGTGTGTGTGTGAGTGAGTCAGTCTGGAACCTGGGGAATAAAGGTTCTAGGTATAATTAGCTCTAGAATTAGCTTGAGTAACTTCTTCATGGGAGTAGATGAGGAGACAACCAGCTCTTTGTGCAGCTTTGAGAGAATCCCTGATCAAAACATACTCTTCCTGAGGATCATCATGGAGACGAACACCCTAGGGTGAATCCCCAGTTTTGGATGGCATGATCTCAAGATCACTCCTAGTCCAATGGCTCGCTTGCCCAGTGGACACTTGTTCGTTTTTCTCCCTGGTGCCCAGGTCCACGTTGTACTAAGACTCACTAGAAATTAAGGGCCACTCAGGGTGACTGAGGAGAGCCAGTCTCCCCAGGGCTCTGTTGACAGAGCCACTGAGTTAGGAGTGGAGCTTTGACCAAATGGCATTTGCTGTTAAAACACCTTCCTCTTACCAAAGAGGGTCCGGTCTCTCCCTCATCATGCCAAGGGGGAATGAATTGTATTGAACATCTTCTTTGGACCATGCAGAAGCAGGCACTAGTGTGCAGAAGTTCTCATGGAGCTGATGTTAGATTTATGCCAACGTAAGCGGGTTGATTTCTCTCCTGGTGCAGTCCTTGCTCCTTTGTACCCCAGGTACACACCATCCTTTGTTGACTTAAGCCTCAACCTTAATGGCTCCGACGATGGATTAGGATCTCTGATCCAGGCCAGTGTCCAATAGTACCTTTTGCCGGGTCTGTTCTAAACACTCTTCAATATGCAGACAGAGCCGTGGGGGCTGTAGCACTATTCTTGCCCGAGGCTGTGATGTCTGGCATTGAACGGTGGGTTGGCTGTGGAGCCAAGAAGGAACAAACTCCAAAAACACGGCTTTGGTCTCATGTGTGAGACTGGGAATTGTATTGTGTGTCCAAAAGTGAAGGGTTTTTAGTCTTTTTTTTTTTAATGGAAACTTGATTACTTTATTGTTAATTTAAATAAATGAGTTTATATTGATTGTGAGAATGCCTTGTCTCTCCCTACATTCCCCCATGGATGTCCAGTGATGGGAATTCCATTGTAATTAATGCTGTTTTCAGATTTTGCTTAAATTCTACATGACAAACCAGATTGCTTGGGAAACAGGTTCTGGTACAAAGAGACTGGATGTGAAATTAAATTAACTACCTAGTTTCAGTTAGCAGCCAAATATGAGGTACCCTGCTAGGTGCTGGGGAATACAAAAATTAAATGACAGACACGCCGCCCTCCAAGAGCTTAGAGTGTGGCTGCAGTGGGAATGGAAAAGAGAGTGGGGATATGAGATATTTTGGAACTGGTCAACAGATTTTGAGCCTGAGTGACTAGGTTGATATGATTGTGTCAGAAATAGAGAATTTATGGAGGAAGGGAGATTTTTTTTGGCTGAGGTATGACATTTTGACAGTTTGTAAGCACATCCTAGTGGAGGTATCTAACAGGCAGTTGTTGAAATAAGACTGATGTTCTGGGGAGAAATTGAGTATAAAGACATTAGGGAGATAACTGCATATTTGTGATCATTACAGCCACATGAATGAATAAAATGACTAAGGGACAGAGTACAGGGGACTGAAGATGGTTGAGAACAAAGTGTTGGGGGAAAACTACATTTAAGGGGTAGGAGGCAGTGTGGCATAGTGGACAGTGTGATGGACTAAAGGGAGTCAGAAAGACCTGGGTTGAACTCCTTGGACACTTATCTGCTATATGGCAATGGGTAAGTCAATTGAGCTCTTTAATTTTTATTTCTGTCATCTTGTAAGATGGCACGACCTCTGAGGTTGCTTTCAGCTTTAAATATTTGATCTGGGAGGAGTGTGAGGAAGCGGTGAAAAACAAACAAAACAAAAACCAGAGCAGTCCCAGACGTAGGAGGAGAGCTATGAGGACAGTGTGATAAAAGCCAAGGGCATCAAGAAGGGGGTATTCAGTTGGGTCAAGTGTTGTTGAAAGGTGAAAGAGAATCAGGCTAGAGAGGAGGGTTTGGTCATGAGTTTGGAGGTCACTGTTTCAGTAGAGTAGAAAGGACAGAAACCAGATTGTCAGGGGCTATGGAGTGAGTGGGTGATGAGAAAATTGATTTGATGAATGTAGGCTGCTTTTTCCAGAATTATGATGGTGAAGGGGAGGAAAGACATATTGTAACTTGGGTGGGGAGGGGTGGCCAGAGAATCAAGGGTTTAAAATTTTTATTTATATATACGTATAGTATATATTATGCATACACATAATACACACATAATATATAGAACATATATTAACTTAGATAAATATGCATGTCTATATATGTATATATATATATACAAATATAGGTATGTATAGTTAAGGTAGGGGAGTCCTGTGCAGATTTGTAGGCCAAGGAGAAAGCACTGATGTAAAGGGAGAGATTAAAAGTGTTGGAGAAAGTGGGAGGGGCTGGGATCAAGGGGCTAGATGGGAAAGGTATCTTTGACCGAAGGAGGACTGCTTCCTTTTCTGGCACTTGGCGGATAGCGGAGAGGATGGGTATATGAGAGGATATGAGCTTCTAAGGGTAGAGAAGGGAAGATTGTGCAACCTATTACAGACGGCCTTGACCTCACTAAAGTGGGGGTAAGGTCATCTGTTTAGGATGAGGAGAGATGTGGACATTAGTGCCTTGAGGGAAAGGCTTGGGATTTCAGTTGTGAGGAATATGAGCAAATTAAGAGGGAAAAGGATCTTGATGTTGGAATGAAGGCTTCCCAGTTTACCAGTTAGCAAATTGGAGGAGCTTCCTTCAACAATATTGTCACGGGAAATAGAAAGAGAAGAAGCAGCTGCTGGTAGTTAGCCAGAGAACAGGGCTGGAATGGCAGAAAGGCAGCAGGTCAGCTGCTGAAGGAAGTCCTCCACTGGAGGGTGGGATTCACAGGGAGACCTCATGATCTCAGATTTGGAGATCAGAGTCACCAGCTTAATTTTGTGTGCAGTCCTTCAGGTGTGATGATCACTCATTCCAGAGAGCGAGGCGTGTCCGTGAGGGAGTGAAGATGGAGATGTGTGTTAATGATATCTGGGGCTGAGGCACGGCAGATGTGTGGATGTTTTCCCTGGGCTGCAAGCCGAGGCATGCATTTCTGGGTATCTGGGTCTGCACCCTCTGGTTACCACTGACTATCATCCCGCGTTGGGAGGCAGCTGGTGGGGGTGGGGGAAGGGCACTGGATTTGGAGTTGGAAGATTTGGGTTTGAAACTTTTGGGTCCTATCTCCAGGAGCCATCTGTAAAAGGAGGGGGCTAGACAATCTCTGAGGTTCCTTCCGACTCTAAGAAGAGGATTCTGGTTTCCCCCGACAGGAACAAATTAAGTAGTGGACAGAATGCTGGACCTGGAGTCAGGAAGACCTGGGTTCAAATCTTGCCCCAGACACTTGGTATTTGTATGACCTTGGGAAAGTCTTGAGCTTAGTTTCTTCCATCTGTAAAGGAAGAAGGTGAGCTAGATGCCTCTGTGCTCTGAAGACCAGATAGAACAGGATTCATCTTGGGTTTTCCATGCTTGGAGTAAATTGCTCAGCGGTAGCACTTTGGATTCCAAAAGCCAGCTCCATGTTTGTCCTCTCCTTCCCACTGTCTCTCCTTCATCTTCATCCTCCACTAGCATAGTTGCTCTGGGAAGCCCAGGCCCCACAGACCTCTCCTTGTACGATGGTATTGTTTGCTTCTGTGCTTTCTCTTTCCTTCTCCCGGATGAGCAGAAGAAGATTATGATCATGATTTGCTGCATTATCCTGGCCATCATCTTGGCCTCCACCATTGGGGGCATCTTTGCCTGAAAGCCCACTTTGACCTTGACCACCTGCCTCAGGTGAGTCCTCTCGGAAGAGAGTGGAGAAGCAGCCTCCCTTGCTGTGACTGGACAAGCTGGACTTTGTTTGGCTGGACGGTCCAGCGGCAGGGTTACCATTATGTGAGACATCATGGGAATGCAGGCTGTGTCTGGGCATGGAACCTGGTTCCTGGGTCCTTGGATATCCCCATAACTTTGGATATTCGTAGAAGGATGCCTTGATGTGGGTGGGCTGCTGTTAGGAGGGGATAATCAAGCAATCAGCCAGCAATTATTCAGTGTTTACTAAATGGGGAAACATTCCAGGTGCTGAGAATACCAAGACAAAAATGAAAGTCCCTGCCCTCCGGGAACCTACTACTGATTGTTAGAAAAATCTTTCAAATGGGAGAAAAGGCAGGACTGGAGAGGATGAAAGAGTGATACAGTCTGGGTTGAGGTGTGGGGGATGGTGGAGACAGATGCCAGGTGGCCACGTGGTCCATGGAAGAGGGCATCACTGAGATCAGCGTTGAGCTTCAACGTCCAGGCCTACTATCCAGGTGCCCTGGGTAAATCACCCCTGGGCCTTCTTCCCGCTTACAAAATGATGATTCTGTTTCACTCAGTGAGCACTACGGAAGCAGGTGGGTGGCGGGACAAAAGTGAAAGCAATTCTTGTCCTCAAGGTGCTTACTTTCTCCCAAGGAGAGAGTTCCAGCCTAGTGGGGGAGGGTAGCACTTACTTCCTCATCAAAAGAGAAAGGCAAGAGGAGAGGTGGCCAGCTCTGTCAAGTACTTTGAACTCCTGGGAAGAAAGGCCTGAAGTAGGCCCGGGATGGCATTTTAACTCCTGCCAGAAAAAGGTTCTCACTGAGGGACATTTCGTAGGGTTGAGAATAAAGTGTTATTGAATCAATCCCACCCAATGGGCTGACATTGCTTGGGTGTTTTGTGATCTTTCCTACCATCTTTGCTACTTTTTTTTTTCTAGACAGATCCTGGATTAACATTTCAGTTCCTCTTTCCAACCTGGCGGTGCCATCCCTCCACTGCAGATTTCTCGGCTACTTCGCCTCTCCTTTGAGAAGTCCCAGTTGTCGTCACTGGACAACCACCAGCCAAATGCCTACCTTTTCATTTTATATCTTCTTAGAAGCATGGAGGGCCAGGGTTCAAAAACCCATGGGACTCCACATGGGGAACTGGCGGGCAGGGGGGTTGAGGGAAAAGTCAATCAAGTTGGTTGAAGAATAGGAGTTAATAGTGTAAATGATCAGTGGGAGGGATAGGCAGTTAGGCCCAATAAGAAAGGACAGACGGGAATCTGGAGAGATATATGAGCTATACACCTTTTATGTTCTGGGTCAAATGCCGGCCTTCCCAACAGCTCCAACTCAAGAGAACCTTGATACCATGGAAAGAGGACTTGCTACTGGTGATCTTGGGCAAATCGCTCCTTCCTTGGATCTCAGTTTACTCATTCCTAAAATGAAGTCCTCTGAGGCCCCTTCCAGCTCTTGGTCTATGTATGATCAATCTGGGTTAACTCTGTTTAGGGTAATTATTAACCTCCTCTCACTATCTTCTACCTCTTTCCCAGGGCGAGCTTGTTCCAGGTAATAATGTGAGTCAAATAGAAGGAATTCTTTACAAAGGTGGTATTTGCTGCCCACTCTATCTTTCGATTAGGGAGTATGCCCCCAAGCCAATCTAGAAGATGAAGAGACTGAGTTTCCACCTCTTTGATGTTGTTAAGGCGGTGTTAGGGGGATGGCGTTGCTATTTAGTTAACTGGGAACACGGTGTTCCTGCGTATCAACAGGCACGTCACCGAACCAACCCACATCTGAAGGGGGTGCACTAGGTCCTTTTCCTAAAGGTGGAGATGGATTCACATTGATCTGCAATAACCTATTGCTGGATAGTGTGGTGACTGGATAGAATGAAAGCTTGGAAGTCAGGAGCAAGTAGGTGTGAATCCTCTTGTAGAAACTTATTAGCGTGAGGATCTTGGGCAAGTTACGACCTTTCTGGATCCGTTTCCTCATCTGTAAAATGGAGGGGCGAGGTGGACTAGACGGCCTCTGGTCTCTTCCAGATAAAAATAACTGTATGAAACCGTGATCTATAATCCTATGGCACCCCCTTGTGACTAATGGCCCTTTTAGAAAATGGCTGCCTGTTGGTGGGGTAGGGCTTTTTAGTGCATGGGCAGCTAGGTGGCCAAGTGCCTGGGCCTGGAGCCAGAACAACTGAGCTTCCTGAGTTCAAATCTGGCCTCAGACACTAGTGTCACCCTGGGCAAGTCACTTAACTGTTTGCCTGTTTCTTCATCTGTAAAATGAGCTGGAGAAGGAAATGATCAACCACTCCAGTATCTGCCAAGAAAATGGGGTCATGAAGAGTTGGATAAGACTGAACCGACTGAACAACAGGACTTTAGTAAACACCTAATTTCAGTAAGCACAGAACAGAGCAAAATAAACCAGCTTATACTGAGACTGAACTCATATCTCGGGTTTTGTTGGCAACGTGGTCTTAACTGAGAATGCCACCTCCAGACTTCTAAGAGAACAGGACTGTAGATCTGAGGCAGGAAGTCTAGTCCAAACACCTTCTTTTTCAGATGAGGAAATCGAGGCTGAGTGGTGAAGTAACTTGTCCTGGGTCACACAGCCTATTTTAGTTTGTAAACATTTATTTGGGTTTTGGATATTCAAAATAATGAGTCAGTTTGCCTTTTGAGTCCCAAAAAAGCTTACATCCATTCCCTGTCTCTTCAAGTGCTGATTCAATTAACCTCATAGATTTAGAGCTGTAGGGGATGTTAGCAGCCACCCAGTTTCTTAAGCAGCAGAGGAAGGATTTCAGCCCAGGTCCTGACTCCAAAGCCAGCCAATGTTCTTGGCCCTGTACTTGGCTCCATCTAATTAGGAACCCAGTTGTCAGGTGATGGACAGATGAAGATGCTGCTTCTTCACTTCTCCCTAAAACTTGTCTTTCAACCATTTCCCTGCTGGCAACAGAACTTGACTTTGCTGACCAGCAATTTGGTATGTCGATAGAAAGCATTTGGTTCCCACTTCTGTCCCCAAGAGCCTCCAGAATAGAGCTGAGGCTTCAAGCTTATTGTGATTCACTGAAATGTGACTATTTACATTATGAAAGGATACACTGCAGGGTACTTTAAGGAGCTGCCCTTGTGCATTTTTGTAAAAAGGTCATCAGCTGCTCTAGGAACAGAACTCGTGCATAACTTAAGTGTATCTTGAGGCTCAAGCGAGCTGATTTGGTGGTGGGGATGGAGTACAGGACTTGGCCTCAGGAAGACCTGGGTTCAAATCCTGTCAAACCATGAGAAATCATTAACAACATCTGTTTCCTCATTTGTAAAACAAGGGGGTAGACTAGGTGGTCTCTAAGGTCCTAAGCTGTCCTCTACCGAGGCATCCACTTGGAAGTTTTCAGAATCTGCAAGTTTGGCACTTAAATTCAGATTTGTGCCATTTACATCGAAAGTGCTGTTCTTTCCTCCTGCTTATATGTTTTAGAAGAGGGGAGTGGTCCTGCATGTAATTCTACTGATTCTGAATTCCTTTAGCTCTGGAAGAGGGGGAAGGTAAAGAGAGTGTTTACTCAGCCCCTGAATCACAGGGTGGTGGTGGTGGGGTGCTACAGGCAGAAAGGCAGGAATTGCCAGTGATACCACACAGAATTGCAGGCTTTGAGTCAACAAACATCGTGACTATGTTGGCACTGTGCTAAGTGATGGAAGATGACAGGAGAATTAGAGATGGTTGGATATGACTACAGACTCTGTCCACAAAGAGCTTGGAGTCTAAGAGGGTAGTGTAGAGTGTTACATAAAGGAGCTGATACCAGGGTTAGATAGAGTCACACAAATGTTTAACCCTGCTATCAGCTCTCTGAAGATTTTCAGTGCTCCTGGCTTTTCTGTTCTGTCTCACTGAGATCAAGTCTAGGACTGGTGGGCAATGTGGCCTGGATAGAGGAAGTCTAGATCCTGATTACAATTTCTCTGTTGCTGTATTAAAAATGCAGTTGTCAAGTGAGTATGTGAATTTAACAAATAAAGTCCCAATGAGTGAAGACAGCTGTGCCCAAGGCTTGTGTATGGGGGCAGGAGAAGTGGATAGCTCAGGAATCTGAAGACCAGTGAAGGGGAAGGGGGTAGAGGTGAAGGGACGGTTTGTGTTTTGTTCCTCTTCACGTTTTCTCTCCTGATGATCTATACCTTTACCTTTGCTTTGCCACTCTCTCTCTGAGTCACTGATGTAGAGAGGCAGGGCGCCAGAGTGGACAGAGGGCTGGCCTTTGCATCAGGAAGAGCTAGGTTTCAATCCTGCCTCTGACACACTAGCTGGGCAACTATGAGACTGGTGACTTTGCACAGCTCTCCCTCACTTAAATCCAATTCACCTGCAGGTCATGGCATCACCTGCCTGATGTCATGGTCCTCTTCAAGAAAAAAGTACAAACTACAGCTGGACGACCATGGGAAGGTCAGAGACTGTCTTTCTTTGTGTCCCCAGTGCTTAGCAGAGTCTCTGGCACAGAGTAGGTGCTTAATACATGTTTACTGACTCAGTGTCAACCTCTGTGTCCCAGACACCTTTTGTGACTATAAATTACAGAAAATTTATTAAGCTACACCAATGGAAGGGAATTTCCACACTGGAAGTCTCTCCTCCTCTCTCCCCCCCCCCCAACGGATGCTCTCACAGGGATAAGGAAAACAGGGCAAGGGTTCTTGACCTGGGGCCTGTGAATTCCAAAATGGTCCAAGACTTACAAAAGCAGGTCTAAAGACTGCTGGGATAAGGAAACTCCCATTACCAATGCATGTCTTCCAGCTGCCAAGAGCACTTAGCGGGTTAGTGTCTTGCCTTGAGTCACAAAGTTAGTGTGTATGAGGCAAGGACACAAAAGAAGTCATTTAGGTGTTTCCAGAGTCCCTTTACAGGGGCCAAGACTTCTGTACAATCAACTACAATGCACACTATGGTTCTTCTCATCCCAATGCTTTGCAGAGATCCTCCAGTCATCTGGGGGTGCTCAGATGTTTCTAGGGAGAAGCTGCAGGCAAGAGATGGGGCAGCTTCTCTCGAAACTTGCTCTCTTCCCCTCGCTGTCGCTAGACACGCTCAGGTAGGAAGAACTTGCCCCAGTAGCGCCCCTTGTGGGTCAGGTCATAGGGGCTCACCACCTTCCTCAGCCCCAGCATGTTGGCAGTGACAATGCGCTCAAAGGTCCAGGGGTTCTGGTTGTTGAGCTCCCTCTCCCTCTGCTCCTCGCGCATCTTTTCCAGAGACTCTCGGCTCACAGCCTTGGCTGGGAAGGGCAGCTTGTGCGCCACCTGCTTGAGGATGGGTTCCACCTCGCCAAACTCACAGCGGCCACCCACCTCCACGATAAGGCGGCCAGTCTTGACTGCTGTCACGTAGTGGTCGATGGCACCTTTGCCACCCCCCATGCGCTGGCCCATACCCTTGCGGGTGATGGGCTTGTAAGGGCCTGGGACACGCCAGATGGCAAACATGTTCTTGGTGTCTAAGGCACGGTTGATTGTCAGGCGCATCATTTCAAAGTGGCCCCAGTGGAGATAACCGCCACCTAGTGCCTGAAAAAGAGTCAGGAGTTACAAAAACAACCAGCATACTTTAAGCACCTAGTATGAAGCAGGCACTATGCTGCATTACGGATTCAAAGACAAAATCGATAATCTCCCATGTCAAGCAGCTTACATTCTACTGGGAAGATGCAACATGTACAGAAAAGAAATACAAAGGGATTTCAGGAGGGGGGCACTAACAACTGGGGGAACTGGGAAAGGTCTCTCCTAAGGGGGCAGTGAAAAGCTATAGGTTTCCAAAAGGCAAAGGAGGGAGGGCATTCCAGGAAAGTGGGACAGTTTATGCAAAGTCACAGAGATGAGGGAGGGGATGTTGTGTGGGGACAACAGCAAATAAGCCCGTTTGGCTGCAATCGAGAGTCCATGGGAGTGAGGAGACAGCAGGAAGTTGCACTAGAATTAGGCTGGAGCCAGAGTGCAAAAAGCTTTCAACAAGAAACGCCCCCATGACAACTTTGCCTGAGATACTACTGGGGCAAAGAGGCAGAAGCAACCAACATTTCGTTACAGTGGAGTTGATCCCCTTACTCCTCTCATCTGTTCCTGCTCTGGGGTTTGTCTCCTCCTCACTTGTTTTTCTACTAGAAGATGTACAGGCAATGAGAAGAACTTAAATTCAAAGCTAAAAATATCTCTTAAGCACCTACTGTGGGTGAGGCATGATGCTGACCCAGCTAAGTGGTGGCAACTCTGGTCCAAATCATGCAAGAGGACAGTGTTGAGAGAAAGTACTTGTGTGCACAGTAGAAGATGAGATATGGAAGTGAGCTCCTTAGGAAAAGGATGGGAATAAGCAATTAAGCGCCTACTATATGCCAGGCACAGTATTGTCTCATTTGATCCTCACAAACCCTGGGAGACAAGTGCTATTAAAATCTCCATTTTTACAGCTGATGAATTGGGGCAGAGATTAAGTTATTTGACCAGAGCTAGAATGTGTCTGAGGCTAGATTTGAATTGTCTACCACCCGGGACTCAACTGATAAAACCCTGAATGGATACCCATGTGCTGTAAATGGTGGAAATTTTGGGCACTGAGAATATGTGCATTTGGAAAAAGCCATATTAAAAAGCATTTCTCATCGTAGCTCCCTCTGTAAGCCACCACAGGTGGCTGCCTACTTAGCATATCCTTCACTGGCTCTGGCAGAACACCCACTGCCACCAGCATTTATTAAGTACCTACTAAGTGCCAGGCACCGGGGATACAAAGGCAAAAACAGTCCCTGCCCTGCAGCAGATTCACATTTTAATTGGTACGTTCACAATGGAGAGGAGAAATTGGTGGTAATCTCAAAAGGACGGCATAAGCATTAAGAGAGGTCAGGGAAGGCTTCTTGCACAGGGTGGGATCTGAGCTGACACTAGAATGAATCAGGAGGCACACAGGAGACAAAGCATTCCAAACATGCAGAGACAGCCAGCAAAAAGGCACAGTCAGGAGAGGGGAGTGTTAGGATCAGCTAACCCAAGGCTCATGACCTGACCTCTCGACACCACTTTCCCCAGCTGCTGATTTCTTGGTGCACTCACCAGGATACCAAAATTACCCTCGGTGAAGTCAGTGGCTTCAGTGGACGGCCCTCGGATGTCACTCAAGTTCTTAGGCTCCCGCCTCACCTTTGGCACAAGCGGCAGCCGATCAACAAACCTGAGCTTGGGCTTGTTGGGAATAGAAACACCTAAGGAAAAGAGCAGGGAGCAGAGGGTGGGCCTACAAGAGCCATTAAGGAGCACAGACCTCTAGGCATAAAGCTTCGGGGAGGGAAGTTACAGGGCAGTAGCTATAAAAAGGAAGGAAAAGTCTCTTCCTATGTGCTCAGAATCCCTCCAATGCTTCATTTCAGCAGTGACTAGACTTGGGGATCTGGAAGGGTGTGTCCACCCAGCTTAAAAGAGAGGAAGTCCTACTCAAGCTAGAAAGGTCTCGAGGATGGGTGAGGCTCACCACAATTTTTTGGCCATGGCAACTAACAAGCAGAGACTGCCACCTGGATTGGAGAAGGCAGTGGCCATACTGATGAAACTGTAGACCCTAAAGTATGCATGTTGGCCAAGGCATTAAAAATAGATTTTCATTTATATCTTGTTTTCACATTGCCTCCTCTAGAGACCAATCCCTTATAACAAAGAAGTACACAATGTTCTGCACCTGTGGATCCCTACCTCTGTAAAGGCGTAGGGGAGGTGAATTCTCCTATCTCTTCCTTGGGTCTAAGGCAGCCACTAGACCAGGGTGGGCAGGATGTTGTGCAGGCCTGCCCTAAGGGAACTTTGCATAGTCAGTTTTGCTGAGGGATTTGCATTTTTGAAGGCTGCCCAAAATCCTTTGGCAGGAGGCAAGCCAATCATGCCACAGCTAGTGATGTTGTGCAGGCCTGCACTAGACCCATCAAACTATGACGCTGAGGATGGCAGCCCTAGTTGGACTTTGTAAAATGGCTGGGCCTAAAAATGTCCAGGAGAATGTAAGCTTCTCAAAGGCAAGAATCTTTGTGTGTGTTTTGTTTCTGTATGCTCAGTGCTCAGCATTACCCGGAGGAAGTGCTTCATCAATGCTTGATGGATTGGACTTTGTTGCTCCAACTAAGAAATGACAGAGTTCAACCACGTGCCCAGCACAACTAGGTGCTGTGGTTTTGGGATATATAGTATATGACTGTCCCTGCCATTAAGAGCTCCGGCACCCCCCCTCCCCCTCCCCAACAACAGTACTTACTGGTGAGCCTAGTACCAGCTGGGGAAATAAGATTGAGATGAACTAGAGATTAAGATCTCTCACCTTCATAGGTTGGTACTGGGAGGAAGGTCTTCATGCCAGCACTAAGGGGCTGGGCAGCCCCAAGACCTGAAAAGCCAAACCGATGGACAATGGACTGAGAAATAACAGGGATAAGCATACACGATGACCAGAATTTGGGAACCTGGATGGTGCTAGCTCAAAATCCTGGGGAGATGGGGCAATCTCTGGGGCCTGGAGCTGAGGTGCTGACCCTTCCTGCCACCTGCCTCACAGGTGATCCTTTGTCTACAAGCATGGTATCATGACCCTTGGCTGGAGGAAGTGGGAATGTTCCTCAGAGGGAAAGGAATTCACTGAGGTGGCAGAACTGAATGGGATCTCTCTCTGAATACGCCATGTTGAAGGAACAGCAGACTTGGCTTTATGGATGAAACACAGACTAATGTCCTAGAAGTCACCATCTTTTTATGTGAGGCTTAAACGAACACTTCCAATGACAAGAAGCTCACTACTTCGCAGGACAGTGTTCTGACGCCGAGCTCTGTGAATGAGTTTTAAACACTTCAATACCGGTACTTCAATATGACTGGTTTCCTTTGTAATCCAATGTATTTTACTTTACATACTTAGAAACGTGATTCTGAGAAGGGGACCATAGGCTTCTACTGACTGCCAAAGGGATCCAGGACACAGAACAGGCTAAGAACCTTCCAACCGGGGTGTCCCCTTCCCCATTCTTCTTTTCTAGAATTCTAGAATTGGGAGCTACAACGACCTCAGAAACCAAGCACAGCTTCACCTCCCGCTCCCCAAACGAAACCAGTGGTGAGACCTGCCTCAGTTTCCTCACCTGCCAGGTGCTGATGGGAGCCCTGAAGCTATTTCCCACTCGGGGGCTGCTTTGTGAGCCCCCAGCAGGCTCAGGACCCACGGGTTAACCCTTGTACAAGTGCAAGTCTCCATCTTAGAATGGAAGCTTCCTGAGGCCAGGAACTATCTCGCCAGGCCTCAGTAAACAGTAAGCACTTAAAGAATGCTTGTTCACTCATTCACATGGGGCTATGGTTATTGTCCAGCCCAGCCCTTCCCCCCACAAACTCAATTTACAGATGACAGATGCCTGAGGGGTTGGGGAGTTGCCCAAGGTCAGGTTATCCCGGTCTCGGGGGGGGGGGGGCGGTCGCGGGCGCTGTTGTTGGCCCCATTTCACAGTTGAGACAAACAAAGCTCAGAGAATCTTGCCCAGGGTGACGTAGCTCGGGAACATCGCAGGCGGGATTCGAACTCCCGACCCCCCACACTCGGAGGCAGAGCTCGGCGCTCAGCAGAACTGGGAGGGGGGGGAGGAGGGGCAAGGGAGGGATGTGGGGGAGGGGAGCGGACGGCTTAGGCCCAAGCGGGTCTGAGACGCCGGAGAGGACGCCTGACCTGAAGGGAGCACGCTCAGGACCGGAGGGCCGGCGCGCGCGCCAGCAGCCGCCACATGGTTGCGAGCCGGAGTCCGCCGGGGTCACCGAAGACAGAAAAAACATGCGACGAGAGCCAGGAAGAGACTGCGGGACGTCAGCCGGTTCTCAGGGCGCCGCCATGACAGACCGGAATTGCGTCATCGCCGCGACCCTTTAATTTCCTTTTATCCTCCAATTGGCGCTCACTTCCGCGGTCGGGCGTGACACATCGCGTCTGATTGGTGGACCAGGCGGAAGGGGCGGGAATCTGAGCCGTCCTGCGTGGTTTCAGCTGTCGAGCTTTTCCGGGCTCCCGGGATGCTTGCTGTTAGGTGAACGCTCTGCGCATCTGTTCCGTTATTCCTGCCAGAGGCTGCCCGGAGGTGGCTGGGGCTGCCGCCCTCCGCCCTCCGCCCTCCGGCCTCCGACCTCCGGCCACCCTTACGTCTTTTTCTCGCTCCTCGCCTCTTGCCGGATTCCGAGCCCTCGGTGCTCAGATTTGCTGGCTGCCCCTCCCCCTCGCCTTATTGCCTGACCATTTGTGACTTTGGGCCGGTCACTGTTCACCTCCGGGCCTCAGGTTCCTGTTCTGCACAGGGGCGAGGCTGGTTGACCAATGCGCGCTCCTTTAAATTTGGAGCGAGAGGATTTGAATTAAAGTCCTTTTCGTCCATTTACTGCTTTGGTGATCTTGGGCGAGTCACTTAACCTTTTTGGTCCTCAGTTTCCTTAGCTGTAAAATAGGGGTGGGGACAGGTGGATGGTTGACTGCCAAGGACCCCTCCAGCTGTAGGTCTGTGACCCTGGGAGTCAAGGAAAAAGACTGTTCCCTGTTCCCGTCCTCCATCCTCCCTTTTCCTTGAGCAGCTTCCATCCTTTCCTCTGTTCTGCTGTCGTCGAATAAAGTCTAGTAGCCTGATACCGTGCAGGTAATAAGTAATAGGACTAAAATTCATATTCAGCCCAGGTCTTTTGACTCTACTTCATAAGACAGCAGGCCTGGACCTTGGGCTTGGGGGTCCTGCCAAACTGGAAAGACTACCAGGACAGTCCAGGCTTACATGCCAGTTAAATAAAGTTTGAAGAAGCTTATCACCAGATTGGCAGAAGGGTGGTGAATTTTCATGGACTGCCGCTCTCAAGGACCAGCTGCGAAGTTATGGAAGGGCCGTGATCGGGCATTCGTGAAGGAAGTGCCCAAGCTGACAAGTTAAAGATCCTTCAAGTGGTTTTCTGCTTTTGTCCTCCAGTGCCTCATCATAGCCGGGAGGGTACTGAGTCTGAATGCTGTGCTGTGCAAGGCTCTGACAAGCTGCAAAGGCTTTGAGATAGGTCTAAGCAGATCAGAAAGGTTAGGCCACTCCCCCAAGGTCACCCCAGAAGTGGTGAGCCAGCTCTACCTACGACCTGAGGCTTCTGGCTCCTGTTCCATGCCCTTTTTCATTACTCTCCCTCAGAAGCAGAGTGGATAGAATAAGAAGTTCAGCTGCTGAAATGGAGGTTTGCATGATTATGGTTTTCAGTTGTCTGTGAAATAAAAGTTACTCATTCCGGATTGTCCCCTTTGTAGCTTGTTTGTAGATATTTGGTGGTGTGTCCTCTATTAGATTGTGAGTAACTTGAGATCGGGGACTTTTTACCTGTGTGTCCGCAGTGCTTAGCATAGTGTCTGGCACATAGGAGGCACTTAACAAATGGTTGTTGAGTAGTGTGGACTCTAGTAACAGATTTGTGTGGGGTAGATGTGAGCAGAAGAGAGCAAGTTATATTCACCTCCTGTGTATCGTGGTGGTGTCTCAACAATAGTGCCCTAAATGGCACGTGTGAATCCTTGCAGGGGCATGTTGATTTAGAAAACCACACCTTAACTTTATCTGTTACTGTTTTTTCATTTATTTTGTGAAGTATTTTCCAATTACATTTTGATCTCATTCAGGTTGGACTTTGGCTGATGTAGAGTAATGGACAAATGAGATTTACCGTAGGAAGAGCAGATTTAGGGTTTTAGATTTGGAAGGTACCTCAGAGCTTATTCCAGCCATGCTAGAATGGGATCGCCTGTAGCTGGTTGAGGGTTAACATTGTTCTACGATAAGTATCTTTTGACCTGATATTCTTTATCTGCATGTCTCGCTACAGCTTAGAATAAGTCTTCCAATTTAGTGAGTCTGCCCCAAAGTGAGGTGACTTTGGTTTGGATTTGATTCACAGCTTGCAGAAATCTTAGAGTTAATGACACCAATGTCCTCACATAAGGAGATACTAGTCAGCTGACTGTCAGCTCCTTTCACCATTGTCAGCCCTCCTACCTTCCCTGTTGGGGCAGCTAGGTGGCTAGGTAGATAGAATATCTGCCCGGAGTTGGGAAGATCTGAATTCAAATCCAGTTTCAGCTAATTATTAGCTGTGTAACCCTGGGCAAGTCACTTAACCCCTGTCTTCCTTGGAGGCAGCTAGGTGGCACAGTAGATGGAACGAGGCCTGGAGGAGACGTGAGTTCAAATTTGGCCTCAGACACTAGCTGTGTGAATCAGAACAAATCACTTTCTTCGTCTGTAAAATGAGCTGGAGAAGTAAATGACAAACCACTCCGGTATCTTTGCCAAGAAAGGGCCAAATGGGGTGACGAAGTATCCTACGTGATCGAACAACAACCTTCCCTATTACTGTGGAGGGCAACGCCATCTCCCTAGTAACCTAGGAGTCATCCTATATTCTTTACTGCCCCCCCCATCAAAGGCTATTGCAAGGTCTCTCAGATACGCCCCCTTCTTTCCTGTGATGCTTCCACTGCACTGGTGCAAGCTGTCATCACTTCACACCTGGATTATTGCAGTAGCTTACTGGTGGTCTGCCTGCCTAGGCTCTCCCCACTCCCATTCACCCTCCATTCATTCGCTAGAGTGTTTTTCTAAAGTGCAAGTCTGACCAAGTCACTCCCCACCTCCTATCCCCCCCAACACTCAATAGACTCCAATGGCTCCATTCCTCAAGGATCAAATAAAAATGGCGTTTGGCATCCAAAGTCCTTCATAAGCTGCTCCCTCCCTTGCCAACCTTACGTCTTATTGCTCACTCTGATCCAATGATACTAGCCTCCTGGTTGTTCGATGACAAGCCACTCCATCTCTTGGCTCCGGGGAATTCTTAATGGCGATCCCCATTCCTGAAACATTCTCCCTCAGCTCAAACTACTGACCCCCCTGGCTTCCTTTAAGTGCCAATAAAATCTCACCGGCTACAGGAAGCTTACTGTAACCCTTCTTAATTCCAGTGCCTTCACTCTGTTAACTGTTCCCTATTTATCCTGTATATAGCTTGCCTGTATATTTTTTGCCTGTTATCTCCCCCATTAGATTGTAAGCTCCTTGAAGGCAGGGACTGTCTTTTGCCTCTTTTTGTCTCCCCAGTACTTAACACAACGACAGACCCATAGTAGGCACTTAATGTTTATCAATTGATTCACTCCCACTCTTTTGCCTCTGGAATGTAGACCTTTTCTCCACACTTATTTTTGGGAGCCTGTTTAGAGGAAGTCGTTACAGTAGCTAGCTCTCGGTCAACCCTTGAAGATAGAGTTATCTGCAAGATAACTACGCTGGATGCAGACAATGTAAGAAGCTGTTTACAAACAAGGCAGCCATAACCCCAAGGACCTTGATACAAAATCCGGTTGTGAGAAGAATTGCCCTTGGCCCAAGTGCTTCACCTGCCCTCCCCTCTCCCCATTTAGCCTTGTTTTAGTACCAGATCTTTTTAACCAACTTTAAAGTTTATTTTCTGTCAGACCAAGCTGAGCTCACTCTTAATTGGTTGCTTGGAATGAATGAGTGAAAAAGCATTTGTTACGTGCTTACAATTGTGGGAAAAAATTCTGTAATCTTGAGTTTTAACTGCACGTCTACCGAAACAATTTGAATTTAAGCATTTCTGCTTAGAGAATCAAAGATGGACAGAACTATCCTATGACTCCAAAAATCTCTTTGAAGCCTTTTTTGAGCTACAGTGGTATTTTAAAAACAACAGATAATTCCACCATGAGATAAAACACAGTTATAGTGCTCAGGGTAAAAGTTCAGGACACATTTGTTTCATTAAACAGTAATAGTCAATTAACTTTTGGAGTGACATGCTTTTGGAAGATAATTTTTCTAAAAACCAATCCCTCTTTGACCATTCCATTTAAGGATTTTCCTTTCTAGTTTGGTTAAATGTAAACTCAAGAGATATTTTTATTGTTATTCAGTCATTTTACAGTTGTGTCCAACTCTCCATGACCCCTATTTGGGATTTTCTTGGCAGAGATATGGAGTGGTTTGCCATTTCTTTCTCTAGCTCATTTTCCAGATGAAGAAACTGAGGCAAACAGGATTAAGTGACTTGCCCAGGGTCACACAGCTAGGTCAGTGAGGCTGGAATTGACCTCAAGAAGAGAAGTCTTCCTGATTCTAGACCCTACACTCTTACCTACTCTGCCATCTAGCTGCCCCTGAAGTAATTTAGACATCTATTTTCTGTTACTCTCATTGTCCTAATATGGTCAAGGTGAACATGTCAAGGAGTTTTTGCGTTCGTCCGGTCACCATCCCAATCACTTCAGGAAGGGGCTGCACCTTGGCTGTTCTGGAGAGAGGAACATAGGACATTGTTTCTAAGTGTATAGGTAGAGAAAGACTCATAGGGTTTCTCTTTTAGATTAGTCCAAAGTTCTAAGACTGGGATGATTGCAAAATGCTTCTTAATATTTCTAAAAGAGGGAGCAAGGTGACTTTAGTGTGCCTCCATATTATGGGCGTATGGGCAAAGAACTGGTAAACTCTGGGAGTGCAATCACATTTTTCTGTAAAAGGCATCTATAATCATAGACATGGAATAGACAACATACCACCATAAGGGGGCAGTCTTTTGCTATGAATCACAATATTTCACATCTTCCCTGACATGGTGTCCTGCATTACAGGATTATATTTCCTCAGGGAAATAAGCAGGTTTCCTCAACAGGGGCCAGCAGAGTCCTTAAGAAGGAGACTATTTGTGACAGGCTTTTTCTTTTGTCCTGACAGAATGGTCTCCTCCAGTCCTCCTCTCACCAGATTTGGCTGTTACATTTTTAGCCTTACACTGCCAGAGTCACTACCCTTGTTCTAAGCAAATTGTATGTA